GCTATTTTTACTTTTGCTTGAGTGGAAATATAAGGAATTGGCATTACCTTTTTATAGTACAATTTATGGATACTCTACCCACTTCTGTAAATGTTAGGCCTCTAAGTAGGAGAATCTATTAATGGGAAAACAGTTATGTGTTCTGTCCAAATTAGTCCTGTGCAAAAATAGAAGAATTGTTAAAATGTTGGAAAATAACTAAAAAAAGTCCCAAATGCAGTTTGACATAAAAATTCAACAAGGTTCTGCTTGGTGGGAGAAAAACACACTGAACTCAACATCCTCAATTTTAACAGAAGGCAGAAAAGATCAGCACTGCACAGAAATGTGTCAGAATATCAAAGTTCAGATCTAATGTAATAAAGTTATTATTCAATGAATAGTAGACAAATATTTTAGTCTTTAAATGTGCTGAGTTGGTGGAGACATAACCCAAAAGGACTTGGAGCTGTTGTCAAGTACTGACCCATGAGGGGGGAGTCTAAATGAACAGCATACTTATCAGAATTTTATTTGTAAACCATTTTTTTCCTTTTTCAAATTTTGCAGACTTGGTTCAAATAAAGTGTTCATGGACAGAATCTCGCTCCTTATTGGTGCATTTTGCTTTATTTGCCTCTGTGCTAGTATTTAATGTCTGAAATCTGTACCGTTGCCCACTCATGCTGACTGATTTTATGGGAACATATGGGGAAGCACTCAGTCCCTAAACAAACACTGGAAAAGACTGAAAAACTTAGCTGACTGTTAGAGGGAATAGTTATCTGATTGCTGCTATAATGCAAATGCACACATAACGTCACACTGCACACGTTTCTTAAGATCTTGTTTATCCGTAACACCTATCGTCACGTCCAAACAGTTGATATTCCCTGTCTCTGCTTAAGTTCGCTTTACTTTCCCTCATTCTCTAGACACCCAGTAGTCCTCTACCCTCCTCCTCCTTCCTTCTTTTCCAGTTCTCCTGCTTGAATTTACTGGCCAGAGGAAAGGAAAATGTATGAATCAATCCAAGGCTGCTCACTCCCCGGGAGAGGGGAAAGCCAAAGAATGAGAGGGAACAAGGGAACTGAAAAGAAAATAAAAAAACTAGGAAAGCCAAGATGGAGAGATGCTGAACCAAAAGAAATAAAAAAAAAAGGGGGGGGAATGGGTGGGGGGAAGGCGGCTGTACTTACCAATGCCATAAATGATGATGTCAGCATTCAGCAGTCTGGGACGACTGCATGTTTTGTTTTTCTTACTTGTGTTTGTGTAAGTGTGTGTAGTAGACACCAAGGAGCGATGCCAAATGCATCTGTGTTTCTATGTGCTCACGTGTGTCTCTGTGGAGATTTTACATGCTTTCAGGGGGATATGACCATTTGGCTGCAAAGGTCATAAGTCCTTTGATGAAGGAGTTTGGTCCCACATGAAATCCCCTGCATCTCTCCACTCTTACTCTGACACCAACACACACTCACACTTGGTTGGGCAGGGCACGCCTGCGGTTAGCCTTCCAGATGGTTTTAAGGTTACTTAGAGACTACTATAGGAGAAGCAACATATGCATGTGCATTGAGCACATGTTTTTAGAAACTCTTTCACTCTGACTTCTTTTTTTCAGTGCAATTTTTTTAATTCTTACTTTACTGTGTGCAGTAAAACATTCAAACTTTCCAACAATAGATCCTGAGGAGCACAACCACAACATTTGTGTGAATTAGAGAGAGCCGGCATGTCTCGGACTGAGGTGACTAGCTTTGAGGTTGCCTCCCTGATACATAAATAGTTGGGCGTTTGTATACCACAGAGTTGGGTGCAGATTTACAAGTACAAGAGATTTTAAGTCTCTGGTGTGTCCTTGTATATGTGTGTGTGTGCAAAGTCTTAATCAGAACCAGATTCTTTTGTCTTTTTCTTCCATTTCATCATCCTGGGAACTTAGAATAAAGCCTCTAATTTTGGATATTTTCCCTCTTTATGTTTCAAAAGCTAATTGTGCAATCTAAATGTCTTGTTTCTCAAAAAAAAAAAAAAAAGAAAGAAAACAAACCTTAACACTGCCGTCTCTGCTGGTCTAACGTTGTTATTACAACTGTATAGGTTTAAAGCACCAATTTTATTTTAAAATACATTCTTCCAGTCATTAAGCACCCATTTCCTGACCAAAGTGTCCCTCTCTCACCCCCTGCAGGAGAAGGAAAAGAAGTACATGCTTCCAGTGGATAACCTAAAGCTGCGAGATGTGGAAAAGGGTTTCATGTCCAGCAAGCACATTTTTGCTCTCTTCAACACTGAACAGAGGTGGCGTTACCCACACATACTTTTCCTACACACTGAGGCTTAAGTAAAAATGTATGAGATTATTCACATGCAAGGTTTGGACTTATGACTCAAGGATAATGCAGGGAGGAGTGCTACTTTAACATGCATTTGTTTTGACAAACCAACCAATAAGGTTATGTCATCTGGCACAACCAGGAAACTAAAGCTATTTCTACAAACGTTGTGCCGAGGTTATGACTTTGTTAGTGTAAGCACGGACATCTTGGATTACAAAATGATTAGATTAGATTAGATGAGCTTTATTGATCTCACAGTGGAGAAACTCACTGGTCACATATTGGCATAGTAAGAAGAGTAAAGAAGGTGCAAACAAGGAGGAAAAAGGTGCATTAAGAATAGACAATATATATACAGTATATCAGGGTATATACAGTATATCAAGATAAATAAGGATTAAGGTGCAAGTGTACATCTATCACACACAAGAAAATAAAAATAAGAAATAAGGATGGCTTATATACAGGTGGATTGACTTTTACATTAAAGGTAGGTGCAGTAGGTAAATGCAGTCTCACACTTTGGATTACCTCCAATAACGATGACGTTTTTTACATCCCTCATTATTGTATTGGCTGCTCTAAAATTGGTTTAGAAATAGCAGAAAGGATTTGTCTTTTTTTTTAAACAAATTTAGCATCATTTAAATGGAAATAAACTTGTTTTTTACAGCTATGTATTTTTTGCCAATGCGCAGAACAGAGGACCCAGTATTCAGGCAATACACACAATGGGATTATTAAAAAGTTCAGTTTAAAAGTTCAGTCCAAAGCCTGAGAAACACGTAGGATCCAGCCAGTAGGCTTGCAACAAGATGCGGCGGATGCCGCCCATAGTGTCCCAGACGCTGCAGAACGGGAGAAAATGGAGGAGTCTGAAGACGGGTCAGGCAAACTGATCAGAACAGGAACCCCCAGGCTCAGAGGTCCAGGAGTCCAAAGGCAATTCAGGCAAACCATTCAGATGGGAACAGGCAGGCTCAGTGGTTGAGAGGCAGAACAGGATCAGGTAATCAGAAACACTAAGTTAATGCTAAAACCCTCTCACCAGACAGACTTAGTGCTTGAGAGGCAGAACAGGTCAGGATAGAGAAATCAGAAACACCAAGGAACTCTAAAAACACACTCACCAATGGCTAGAGAGAACAAGAATAATCTGGCCCTGATGACTGGATGCAAGCACCTTGAATAGAGGCAGGAGTAGGTGGATCAGATGAGAGGTTATAAGAAACCAGGGAGAGTTAGACAGGTGAAAGGACTGAGAAATTAAGCCAGTCATAAGTGCCAAGATCATGACATTTTTTGCAAAGCGGCAATTTATATGACAAGGAGAAAAAATGTCCTCATAACAAATTAGTGACAAAGGATGTCAAAAAAAAAATTCAAAAATTTTATAAATCCGAAAAGCAAATTTTGTAAAAAAACAAACAAAACAAAACAAAAAAAATAATCCAAATGGTTGATTTCATTTTTCTGTAGCTGCTTGCGTAGCATCTTTTGACCCACAGTTTTACTTCCATAGAAATGTGTATAAGGACTACCNAAAAAAAAAAAAAAAGAAAGAAAACAAACCTTAACACTGCAGTCTCTGCTGGTCTAACGTTGTTATTACAACTGTATAGGTTTAAAGCACCAATTTTATTTTAAAATACATTCTTCCAGTCATTAAGCACCCATTTCCTGACCAAAGTGTCCCTCTCTCACCCCCTGCAGGAGAAGGAAAAGAAGTACATGCTTCCAGTGGATAACCTAAAGCTGCGAGATGTGGAAAAGGGTTTCATGTCCAGCAAGCACATTTTTGCTCTCTTCAACACTGAACAGAGGTGGCGTTACCCACACATACTTTTCCTACACACTGAGGCTTAAGTAAAAATGTATGAGATTATTCACATGCAAGGTTTGGACTTATGACTCAAGGATAATGCAGGGAGGAGTGCTACTTTAACATGCATTTGTTTTGACAAACCAACCAATAAGGTTATGTCATCTGGCACAACCAGGAAACTAAAGCTATTTCTACAAACGTTGTGCCGAGGTTATGACTTTGTTAGTGTAAGCACGGACATCTTGGATTACAAAATGATTAGATTAGATTAGATGAGCTTTATTGATCTCACAGTGGAGAAACTCACTGGTCACATATTGGCATAGTAAGAAGAGTAAAGAAGGTGCAAACAAGGAGGAAAAAGGTGCATTAAGAATAGACAATATATATACAGTATATCAGGGTATATACAGTATATCAAGATAAATAAGGATTAAGGTGCAAGTGTACATCTATCACACACAAGAAAATAAAAATAAGAAATAAGGATGGCTTATATACAGGTGGATTGACTTTTACATTAAAGGTAGGTGCAGTAGGTAAATGCAGTCTCACACTTTGGATTACCTCCAATAACGATGACGTTTTTTACATCCCTCATTATTGTATTGGCTGCTCTAAAATTGGTTTAGAAATAGCAGAAAGGATTTGTCTTTTTTTTTAAACAAATTTAGCATCATTTAAATGGAAATAAACTTGTTTTTTACAGCTATGTATTTTTTGCCAATGCGCAGAACAGAGGACCCAGTATTCAGGCAATACACACAATGGGATTATTAAAAAGTTCAGTTTAAAAGTTCAGTCCAAAGCCTGAGAAACACGTAGGATCCAGCCAGTAGGCTTGCAACAAGATGCGGCGGATGCCGCCCATAGTGTCCCAGACGCTGCAGAACGGGAGAACATGGAGGAGTCTGAAGACGGGTCAGGCAAACTGATCAGAACAGGAACCCCCAGGCTCAGAGGTCCAGGAGTCCAAAGGCAATTCAGGCAAACCATTCAGATGGGAACAGGCAGGCTCAGTGGTTGAGAGGCAGAACAGGATCAGGTAATCAGAAACACTAAGTTAATGCTAAAACCCTCTCACCAGACAGACTTAGTGCTTGAGAGGCAGAACAGGTCAGGATAGAGAAATCAGAAACACCAAGGAACTCTAAAAACACACTCACCAATGGCTAGAGAGAACAAGAATAATCTGGCCCTGATGACTGGATGCAAGCACCTTAAATAGAGGCAGGAGTAGGTGGATCAGATGAGAGGTTATAAGAAACCAGGGAGAGTTAGACAGGTGAAAGGACTGAGAAATTAAGCCAGTCATAAGTGCCAAGATCATGACATTTTTTGCAAAGCGGCAATTTATATGACAAGGAGAAAAAATGTCCTCATAACAAATTAGTGACAAAGGATGTCAAAAAAAAAATTCAAAAATTTTATAAATCCGAAAAGCAAATTTTGTAAAAAAACAAACAAAACAAAACAAAAAAAATAATCCAAATGGTTGATTTCATTTTTCTGTAGCTGCTTGCGTAGCATCTTTTGACCCACAGTTTTACTTCCATAGAAATGTGTATAAGGACTACCGTCAACTGGAGCTGGCCTGTGAGAGCCAGGAAGATGTTGATGCATGGAAGGCCTCCTTCCTCAGAGCTGGAGTTTATCCTGAGCGAGTAACCGTGAGCATATCTTTTTATTTATTGACTTATTGATTTATTGATGGCATGAATTAAATCCTAGATATCCCTTAAAACATACAGCATTTGTACAAATACAGTCTCGTAAAAATATGTATCAGTTTCATTGTCGGTTTTATTGTTGCCATGACCTAAATGTTGTCTGTCCTTTTTAATGTCTTTGCATTGGTGTTGTGCTCCACGTAGGAGAAGGAAGGAAAGGTACGGCATTCTCTCCACCCTTTTTTTTTCAACAATTAGAAAACATTTTTAAGAGAATTGGTCAACTTTTTATTCATTCAATTTGTTAAACTGGCAGTAATCAGTAATCTTAAGTATTAATGAGGACATTTCACATACATTCTAGATATAAAAATCAGGACATTAAAAACAGTTATCTGTTTTGTTAAATTAATTTATATACAATAAGTTTCTTCCTAAGTTATTTAAATGTTCAAAACAACTAATGAAAATAAAAGACTGTAATCTTAAATGGTACAGAGCTCCAATAAAAGTTCCTCTTCAAATATTCACATGTTTGAGGCATTTTAGGGAATTATGAGAATTATGAATTCTCCCAAGGATTTTCATCAAAAATGGTTACTTATTATATGGGATTTATTGGTGTGTTTTTTTCAACATTTTACTCAGTCAGTGTCCTAGCTGAGTTATGTGAATATTTAAGGTCACCATGTTTCCTGTTAGTCATCTCTAATCTGTTTCCAAAGAGTGATGGAGGTGATGAAAATGGCTCGGACAACTTCATGCACAGCATGGACCCTCAGTTAGAGCGGCAGGTGGAGACAATTCGCAACCTGGTGGACTCGTACATGGCAATCGTCAACAAAACCGTGCGCGACCTGATCCCAAAGACAGTGATGCATCTCATGATTAACAATGTGAGTCACCTGGGGAAAAAAGGAAAGAAACTAATTTAGATGTGGCAGATAAAATACATACTTTGTTTTGTTTTGTAGACAAAAGACTTCATAAATGCTGAGCTCCTGGCTCAGCTTTACTCATGCGGTGACCAGAACACTCTGATGGAGGAGTCTCAGGAGCAGGCGCAGCGGCGTGATGAGATGCTGAAGATGTATCACGCCCTGCGGGAGGCGCTGAGCATCATTGGCGATATCAGTACGACCACTGTGAGCACATCTATGCCACCTCCTGTGGATGACTCTTGGCTGGCCGTCCAACGGAGCGGTTCTGGAGGAAGGTATATCATGAATAGATGAACTTAGAGGTAAAGGGTGGCCTCAAAAAAACACAACTTTAAAAACTCTGATATCCAACAATAAGATAATTTTTCTGATTGGCTCATTTTTTTGGCAAAGGAAACAAGAAATTAAAATTAAAATAATTAATTTCTTCCAGTAAAAAACAAACAAGAATATTAGAACAACCTGAAAAGTTTAAATTAATTATCCAGATAACTTTTCTTGGCATTTTAACCATTTCGGTTTTAAGAATCTTTATCATTTAATCATCTTTAAACTAATCCCAATTTGTAGGCAGGTGTGACAGACACTTTATTCTATCCTCCATCAGATCCCCAGCAACCAGTCCAACTCCTAACCGCAGGGCTCCACCAGGTCCTCCAGCTCGCCCAGGCTCCCGTGGACCCCCGCCTGGGCCTCCTCCTGCTGGGGGACCCCCTTTACCATCTCGCCCCGGGGCATCCCCAGATCCTCACAGCGGCCCACCGCCCAGTGTGCCCTCTCGACCTAACCGTGCGCCCCCCAGTGTGCCAAGGTGAGTAAAACCAGGAGAAACCCTTTAAAACCAGCAAAGCTCTTGAAATGGAAACATGTAGCAAATTTCAGAAGCAATTTAAATATTCAAACCATACTTTATGATATTTCATGTCAGGGGAATGTGAAGATGCCTGGATGAAGGGAAAAAGGAGGTAAATGGAACTAGATTGTAATAGAGAGTAGCTGGTTAGAAGATTGCTAGAAATCCTGAAATAGATCAAATCAAAGTGGTATCAACTAGATTTTATTCCCCTTGTTTTTATAATTAGGTGAACATCTGACTTCTTTTTGGTGTCTCGCACTAAACATATGACATACATTATTTTTTCATTAACTTCAACTCTCAAGCATCTCATTATTTTTACCCATCCTGCATCCCAATAGTAAATTGACTCTATGCATCTCTGCTGCTGTTATCCTTGTATATTTCTTTGCTCTCTATCCTTTTGTGTTTTATAAGCTAAAGTCAGAAGCTTGAGTCTCTGTGTAAAGCTCTCTTTGGAAAAAAAACAAAACAAAATTAAACCAATTTTGCAAATAAATTAAATTATCTCACTATGGCTATTAAGCACAAACGTATTGCTAAAGAGAGCTGAGCACATGCAACACTGGCCTTCCACCTTCACTGTAACTGTTTGCACTTCTTCTGTGTCCCCCCTGCTCCTCTCTCTCTTTCCCCCTCTTTCCCCACTACATTTCTGTTACACACGTCACTATTGTTCCTTCTGCAGAATCACTATCACTGACCAATGAGGACTAGCTATTTTTTTTTTAGGTATGTTGGATATTGTGTGCCACTGTGGTCCTCATCATGACCAGAATCCTCTAAAACACCTTGGATTCCATCTTTTTGTTGCATGACATTTATCTTTGTAATCGTTGTCCTCTTATAACAATGCATGCCTGCTTTTTGTAGGGTTTTTTTTGTGCACAGGAACAATTGAATAATTTGTTTTAAAGATCCATCACTTTTGGTTGTAACATTCCACCGGTCCTTTGGTACGTCTCTGTTGGTTTTAGAAAACTGAGCTGTATTTAGCTGGATATGCAGGGGCAGCCTCTTCATTTGCCCTCACATTTAGGCCTAAATGGTGTGCTTTGTTTCCACATTGACAGAGTCTGATAACTCTGTAATGTTGGTAGTACTTACATGTGTTGTCATGTCAAAATCACAAAATAAAGTTTTGTGAAAATGAATGTACAGCCATTTAAACTTTCCACATTTTGTCACGTTACAACCCCAAACTTCTGTTTTATGGACATTTGATGTGATGGATCAACACAATTGTTGAGTAGAAAGTAGTTATATAGATGACAACTTGAAAATCTAGATGTATTTATTTTTAATTTTGTGTTTATCACTTTTACCCATCTAGAGACTAGATATGTCCATTCTTCATATTGGAGGGAGAGCATCTGTGAGCATCAGAGTTAACACCTTGCGTCTGGTTTTCCATTGGTTTTAGGGCTGAAATTTGGATAATTTTAACACATGGATATGAAAGAAAGATCCCCCAAATCTTTCAGCCTCTCCTGTTACTGCTAAAATGAAATCCACACAGCATGATGCAGCCACTCTATGTTGACAGATGCCGTTATGTGTTCAGGGTTAGCTTTTCATAACAGTTCAGTTTTGGTGTCCTTTCTTTTAGCACATGCTTTCTTCTCGTCACTGCATGGGACTGCACAGCTAATGTCAATAGGTTTTCTTAGTTAAGATGTGAATCTTAGCTGCTCCTCCAGAGTTAACTTTGGTCTCTTGGCAGCACGGTGGACAGCTGTTTTTGGTCGGGGAAATGATCCATACTTTTTATTAGAACAGCTGAATTAAAAAAGAGCAGAAATTCGATACAATACAGGCTTAATATTTTTTTTTATTTTTATTAAGTGCTTAATAAAAGCCTCAGCTTCTACTTGACAGTTATGTTCTTTGTTCTGGTCGTCACAGCAAGTTTTACAAATATTTGAATAAAAGTCACGGTTGTAGCAGCACAAAATGCAACATAGTCGAAGGGGAGTGAAAGCTGTTGATGGTTGTGTGGGTCAGTAAAGGTTTTGTGCTTTTATACATCTGTTGTCCATTCAAAAATGGACATTGGGTGCCTATTTAAAAAAAACAAAGCAACAAAACAATAAAGCCCCCTTCCTGTAGAATAATCTGACCTTTCTTCTTGTCATCATGTCTCTGTTTGTCCATGCCAGTCGGAGACCCCCGCCTTCTCCAACACACTAGACCTCAGAGTTCCTTCCTCCCTCCTTCATCTGTCGTTTCCCACCCTCTGGATGAGAGTTGCTACGGACAACAGCGCCACCTTTCTGTCGTCTCCTGACCCTCCCGCCTCTCCACTACACCCCCTCTTACCCTGTACCTCTGTTTCCACACAGAGAAGTGAAATACTTGAAAGCATGACTTACATACAAGTTTGTTCCTCATAATTTAACTATAGACACCATGAGGTGAACCATATTAGACAACTGAATCAATGTATTGTATATCCAAGGAAATTCATGGCATAATGTTTCCATCTTCTTATATCTAGAGGGGCAAACATTTGCAAAGTAAGCATGAAGCTAAGCCTGATCATTTTTCCTGAATTAGCATTGGTTTACTCATGTTTTTTAAAAGAAATGCTTCACCTGAAAAATGTTTTGAACAGGGTAACATATAGAAATAAAACAGCAGCAGAATCCTTTTTCAGGATATAGAAGTACCAGGTAACTTGTTCAACATAGATATTATATTAGTGAGCATGTAGATGTTCTGATCTTGTTAAATCTTCATTTAATCTCAAGAGAAAAAATTGTTATCTCTGCAAAATTCACAACTCGGTGGTGCAAAATGAATTCAGGCTAGATTGTTTTTGGTTTATTGCTATCTTAAGCTTTTAATTTGTACTCAAGCGAGGAAACAATCTCAGTGTGTTTTCTATAGTCTCTTTCACCTTTTCTCCTGGATTTCTCTCTTTTAATGTTAAGGGAAGTTTTCTTTGACCTCCATTCTGCCAAATAAGCTCTGGTTTCACACCTTATGTCCCATGAACAGTTGATGAAACAAGTCTCCTAAAAAGCATCCAGCCACTGTTCAGCTTTTAAATTAAGCATTGGTAGTCTCCATTATTCCTTTCTCTTTTTTAAAGCTAATCCGTCCTTTCCACCATCCAAAACTGGAAAAAGGACAGCACCACCTATTCAACACTTTTCACTCAGATGAAGAAGAGGATGACCTCTGGATTCTTCAGTCTCAAAAAACTAAATGGAAAAAAGCTTCTTCGTCTTTCCCTTCTATCGTGTTTTTCTCTCCTCCACTGCTGTAAAACAGAAGGCAGAAACATCTAATGGACCCTCTGATTACTTATTTAGCCAGTTGCAACCTTCAGTCTAAGTGTTGTTCCCATCAAACATCATTACTGCATCCTCTTAAACTGCTGTGCTTTCAAACAACCTATGCAAAAAAAAAAAACCAGGGCTTTTCAGTCCTTTAATGACAAATCCTTCTTATATACCTGCTTTTCCTTTCTTTGTTCCTCTCCTTATTAAGACGTCATTGATGCTGCTTAATTCTGTAGAGGCGGTGTGTTTATGCACCCTTTGTCAAATGCAATCGCAAACTTCAGTGTGTTTTATTGGAATTACATCACAAGGACCATTTTAAGTTATTTAGGGGTAAAGCATCCCCTCAGTATGATTCCACCAACACCATGTTTCAAGGTGTTCATGTTTTTTCACCTGATGTGTCATCTTGCCACAACTTTTAATTCATGTCGAATCTGACCAGAACATCTTGTCCTAAATGTTTGCTTTGTCTCCTACATGACATCCCCATCACTGGTTCTTAGGAGCTGAATTCTTACATGTTTTAGGGGTTTTCCTGCTGCTGCTTCTGTTTCCCTTGATGGCATGCTATTGAGATAATGCAATCACTGAAATTAGTGCAGGAACAAAACAGAGAAACATACAATAGCAAAGAAATGCTCTAATTCACAGTGGGGAATTGAGGCGTGTCAGTGGCAAAGCAAATTCCAGATGAGATCATACAGCTACAGGCAAGGCTAAAGAAAAAAAAGAAAAATAACTACATTTTAAAGAAGTTGAAAAATGGACTGTACAGCAAAGGGTAAAAAAAAAATCCCAGGAAAGTACAACACTGACAAATATTATTACAAAAAATGCGATTCTCAGGGAAAAAAAACAGCACCCTTTTTAAAGAAATAAATGACTGTGCATATAACAGTATGGATATAGAAAACTCTTATAGAGCAGGTAGAAACTAAACAAATATAAGAATTAATAAGCACAGATCAGATCAGAACGGTGAGGCTAACACTCACTTGGAATGGAGATTATAAAATTTAACAGCAGCCGGGAAGAATCTGCGGCAGTGCCTTTTTGGGCACCTAGGGTACAGTAGTTTAAAAACATTACATTCTGGGCCATAAAGACAGGATTTTGAGAAATGTTGCCCTACATTGCTTGGGATAAACTGGAAACTGAACTTCTTACAGCTATCTTTTTGCCTCTCTTTCATGAAAGCCAGATTTTTAAAGTCTACGACTAGAACATCCCAAACAAATTATCCTATCTAAACAGTTTCCCTAGAATTCAATTTCATCGAGATGTATTTAATTAAATACGAATGCCACACTCTAATTTAATATTTGTAGAAAAGGTTTGAAAACCATTTTTGCTTTTTTATTGGTTCAACTCATAGAATCCCATTAAAATAAACTGAAGGTTGTGATTGCACTCCAATAAAAACAGACTCAAGAGGGCTGAATACTTTTGAAAGTCTACTAGTATAACAGTACAGGTGGTTCTGTGGATCTCACCAGTCCCACAAGAAACCAGAAATGTTGAATCCACAAAAATATACTTTTTAGCCTGAGTAGTTTCTTTAGACTGTTAGTCTCAACACATTGTGTTTTGTAAATAGAAAGGATAGCCATTTACCTCCAATTCAGTTTATCCAGTTATGTCCAATGTTTTAATAAACAGGAAAATACCTGAAGGTTTATTCTACTTGATCATATTCTTCTTCTCCTTTTTTTCTGCTCTATTTTCTCTCAGTGGTCACGGGGGTGAGTGAGAACATGAACTATCCCAGTCTATGCATAAACGTACCACTCCTTGTGTTGAGCCTCACATTGCTGAGCACAAACCACCTTTTCATTTCTTCTTTACCCACCACTGACCACTGCTGTCAGTGTTTCATGTTGTATTTTGATCCCTGGAAACGACCCACTAGCCTTACAAGAAAAATCCTCATTTTCACCCTGAGATCATTGTTTAAATCATTACTACTAAAGGAAAAAACACTACACCTGTCTGTGCATCCTTGATCTCCACATCTGCAAAGCCTGCATATCAAATCATATCTTATTTATCTAAGTTAAAAGTTTATTTCTTAATGTGTTAATATATGTACATGTGGTGCATCTGATTAGATTATATATTCCTTTTTGTTTAGATTATTTACCGTAGTTTGCATTGTGTGAAGCATCTGAATATTGAACTAAAGCAAGTAAGCATAATGAAATACTTGAAAAGCTAAAAGGAAAATAAAAATATTGTGCTGTAAATGGATGGTTGCAGGTTGTTTGATACTTTTGCATGTATCAGGGAGGGGTGTATTTGTTTCATGTTTCTTTTCCTTTGAGTTCATAAAGTCAAATTTGCGATGTGATTGTGTGAACTTCCACTGAGGAAAAATCTTGCCTCTCACATCTGCTGATGTGGAAGAAGCTGTAACATTAAAACACAATAAAGACCTCTGTGTGCTGTAATGTTTGCTCTTTTCTTTTTTACCTTAAAAAAATGTAAAAACATGCAGGTTAACTTATTTGGCACTTTAGTTAAATTATTACGAAGCTATTCATAGTAAAAACAGAACAAAATTAAATTAGTTAGATTTGCATTAGGAAAAATCAAATGATCAAATATTGATATGAATTTAATTCAGAAAACATTTAGGTTGTGAATAATTTTAAGTTTCATTTTTTGCTTTTTAAAATAAAACCCACACAAGCATATTTTAACATGACATTCTTCAAAGATGTGCCTTTAGGAAACATTTCCAAAAGGATTTAGAACAGTGGCGCGCACAGACATTTTTGGGATTAGGTGCTCAGGTTGGAAAAGGGGCACCTTAAATGTCGCATGAAGCCCCCAAAAGCCAAACACCGTCTGATGCTGCTGTTTTAACGATCCTCCGCAGTCCATAGATAGAAATGCCACATTGGTGTCACTTAAATACCAATTCAAATCTGCTAATATAAAGCCCAGGATTCCAGAATAACTTTAACTTTTTTTGGGTATTTATGACAATTTACAAATAATATAAGATTTACATTTAAAATATGAAAAAAACCTAACTATTTTTTTTTATTTCAAGTGCATAATATATAATAATCTTTTTTAAGATAAAAAAATTTCATTCCACTGACAAATCATCTTCCCTGTTCAGATTAGGGCCAAATAGTTATTTTCAGAAAATGTTACATATTTTCAGGTCATTTTTTTTGTAGGCAAAGAGAAACAAAGAAATTGGAAATGCAGCTTTATCTACACGCCCCACTTTCACTAAATAGAATTGTATTAAAGTTATTTTTACAAATTGTAATCATTTAGTCTTATGTTTGCTTTTAAATGAAATGTTTAACAGACAAAAGGTAACCCCTGTGCTGTAGTTGTATAAAAAAGGCAAAAAGATGTCATCAGGGAGTCCCTGACTTGGACCATTATAGCAAATCAATAATTACATCTCAGATACTTTAAAGGTATTGTGGAGGATTTTCACATATTTTTGAAATGACCTGCCCTCTCCACTTAAAAAAAAAAAAAAATATGCACATGCACATGCACAACCCTGTACCTGCTCCTGAGAGGGAACGCCATTTAAATGTGTGCAGGAGCATGCACGAGCCCATATCTCCTCATGCACGCTCTGTTTAAAAGTTCTCATAGCTTCGCTCTAACCCCCAAATCCCTCAATCACTAAATAGAGCGGGGACTACTGTATATAGCTGACTTTATAGCCAAATCAGTTTACTGACCGTTCAGACCGATGATCACTACTTTTTGCTACCCGTTGGTCATAGAACTCCTCCTCCAATGTGCGGTGCCTGCGCCATCTTTATTAGTCGCCACTGTCGGGTAGCGACAATCTTTGGCGACAACGGGCAGCTGTGAAAGCAAATCTCATAATGCTTTGCGAGGAGGTCTCTCCACGCAAAGCATTCTGAGTTATATCTGGCTCTTCTGAGGCCCTTTTCTTCTTATTCACTTTGTAGACACTTTTTCTCTTACAATCCTCTGCCATTTTCAAAGAACCGCTGTGAGAAAGGTGAGCTTCAATGACTGTCTGAAACTGTAGCTCACCACAGATATGCGGCTGAAAGTGCGCATGCACAGAAAAAGATAGCTAACTGGGGCTGAGCACGTTGGACGGCCTTACCTAAACATATCACCAGAATGATTGACAATTAGGAGGACCACTTATTTAGATGATCCACCCAGAAAAGGAAAATCCTCTGCTGTACCTTTAAGTTACAGAGTTGCCTTTTAAATCGCTACTTGGTGCCTGGTAGAGGCGATGTAAGATGTTATGCTGTGAACTTTTGAACTTGGTGAAATAACGCTTGTTTAGTTACCCGGACACTTAGCTAGCACATTACCAGGGTAAGGTTCTATTGTGGTGTTACATGATGTATGTGCATAGAGCATAATTACAAAAATGTAGATTTCGGGTGTGATAGGCTTTGAAATTCATAAATGGTATTTTGGGCCAAAGACAAGAAAAAAAAGTAAAAAAAAAACAAAAAAAGGAGGGCACTCTTTTGTCCAGAGGGGAAAAGGGCAGGTGCTCTAGCACCACCTAGTCTATCTGTGCATATTTCTGATTTAGAAAAAAATATATATATTTGTCCCACCAGAAATATTTTTGATGTTGTAAAAGAAGCAAGAGCTATTTAGTGTTTTTAAATGTTATTTTATTATTTGCACATATCTAATTCAGAACAATTTGGACAATCTCAACAAAAAGTCCAGACAGCCTGAGTTGCTCAATCAGTTTTATTCGGGAAAGTATTGAGAGAGAACAGCTTGTGTTGAAGCAGCACTCAAATCAGCTTTGCTCTGCGATCCTTCATCCTAAACTCACTTCAAGTTTATAATAAAACTGATTAGATGACATACTAACTTAATCCAAATAAATATAGTTTATTGTATAATTGATCTTTGTAATAAACCACAGCCAGTCAGTAACTGTCAACATCTGTACTCTGCACCAACATACATACCATCCATACAGCCAGTTATTGAGGCAAAGCAGATCCCCCCGCATCAGGCAAAATGAATATACAATATATTACACAGTTACAGTATTTACACAACACCCCTTTTACAGTAAAGACAGTAAATGTTTTACTTGGTGTTAACCTTAAACAGTAAATTAGGAATTTATTTTATCCACACTGCTGATTTTACACAGCTTGAAAAGAAAGCAGGTTTGGTTTTGATTTGTTTTCTCAGTCTGACAAAAAAAAAAAAGTTTTTGGAAAAAAAAAAAGGGGAATTTTTTAAACCTTCCAAGGGGGAAAAAAAAAAGGAATTTTAATGGGTTAAGAGTAAAAGGTGCTTAAAAGATGGTTGTAATTTACTGTGGGCGCTTCTTATATTTTCTGTAACCCAGTTTTTAGATTACTGATCTTTTTTTTTTTTTTGTTCAGTGTGCAAAAAGTGACAAATTCTGCGCAACTACTTTATGGTCTGATTCTTTATACATTACATTTGATTCCAATTTAAAACAAAAATACCCTAAAAGAAATAAAGAAAATCACAAGCTATTAGCCAGACTGTGAAAATGTGAACCCTACTTTCACAAGGATTGCATATTTCCTCTTTACCCAACTGGTCCAGAAATTGAGTAAAATAACTTTTTTTAAGGTAAAGGTTCCTTTAAGCTGTTTTATCTAAACCCATGTCAATAATCCAAGTCCACCAGAGAAGACACTGACAACTATAATCAGGGGAATCCTCAGCATGAGTGTGAAGCTTCATAGGACCCCCACCACACTGAAACTATGTCCCACTATAACCCCACAGGGGGCAATGGGAAGTTTTGTACAGTTTTAGTGCAATCATATTTGTATAATCTGACAAAACTTTACAAAAAAAAAAAAAAAGAAGAGATGCACTTTTGGCTAGGAAAATGAAATCCGCATTCCAAGCAAAAACTCACCCATTCCAGTTGTTAAAGGTGTTTATCGAGTCATCTGATATGTTAATCAACACATAAACGTAACAGAAAATAACAGGCTCTGAAGAATAGTGTCCCAAACATTTAGACCCCATGAAAATGTTTTAGTTCTCGACGAGAAGTTGAGGAAGAGAAGGGAGTGGCAGGAATGTGAAAGATGCCTGTGGTGGAACAAACCAATAGGCTAAATACACATGCTGTGATATATCAGTGTCTATCAAAGTAAAACCAATTCAAAGAAACATTTTGGGAATAAAGGTGCTGCACAGCAAGCCAAGCTTGAAGTGACAGCTTTGAACACTTGTGTGTTCAACACTTTTAAATCAACTCTTATATTTTTAAACTTCATGGGGTCTTTCAATTGCATCTATGCCCATATTTTATAGAATCATTCAGCAGTTTGTAATGCCGTTGACTTCTCTCAGTCTAATCACATGTTTAAAACAACACAAAAAAAAAAAATCACAAGTATTAATATAATAATGCAATGTACAAACAAGAGTCATTTTCAGTGTTTAAAGTAGGAAACAAATGATGTAGTTTTAGAAATGGTACCAATCAGGAACGCCCTTTTCACCTTCCTGAACTTCACTGTGTAACCTAGCAAGCTCATCACTTCACAGCTGAACGGGACATAAAGTTTCCTGTGCAACGATCTACTTAACCTCTCCCTGCAGTTTCTATGAATCCAGCCAACCTGCTGTCCTTTTCTCTGCACCTTTCTCCAAGGATTTAAATACTCAGGGTTATTACATTCAAAGCCGATGCTCTTTTTGGCATGTGTACAGTGAATCCTAAATATGGGCACAACAGCAGCTCATCTTTAGTAGATAGTTAAGTGCTGTACCAGAAAAAAAGGCAGAATGTCTGGCCCTGATATTGCACGAATGAGATGAGTGTGTGTGTGTGGGACACAACAAAATGAGAAAAAACAAACAAAGAGGAGCTATTTCAGTGGAACTGGGTCAGCCTTCTATCAACGACCAGATTTTAAAGTGTCAAACTTCTTAAGATGTGTAAATATGTTCATCAAGCTACAAAGACTAAAGCCTCACACCACCAGGATCTTCACTTCATCCTGTTCGTCGGGCCGATAAAAGAAAGGGATGCAGGGGTTTTCTCCTAGGAAGGGCGGGGCTCGTGGAGCTCCTTGGGGGTTCTGGATCTCCTGGAGAAGCTGCATTATTTGTTGGGCTGTGCCGTCCTCTCTGGGCACCAGGGGTTTGGTGTCAGTCTGAGCAGAAGTAGATGGTAATGTTTGGGATGGAGAAGCTTCCAGGCGGTGTAGAGACTCTGATTGTGGGCTGATTTCTATGGCTTCTGCTGTCAAAAAAAACAATTTAAGTTTAGATGATGAAGTTGATCAGAACACACATCAAATAAAAACATAGATTGAATTTAACCTAAGCTGGTTCTCACCAGACAGTCTGGACATCTCAAATCAAAGTACCAATAAAGAGTTTCGAAAGCAAAGATAATTAAGAAGTAAAGGAATTATTTTCAACAGGAGGAAGTACTGTCTGTTCAGGATAATGCAACAAAAATATATGCTGCTAATATTACTCCCTTTATATTTTGTCATTTTGTAATGCAGTTTAAGTAACAAAAAGCAGCTGTATAAAAAATAAAAAAAATAAAATTGCATCTTGAGGATCAGGGTAGTTACTGAAGAAGCAAACTGACCTAAAGTCAACTCCATTACATCACAAGGATGCTGTAAATACTACAGCCAAGCTGCTGTTTTAGCCTTGGAACACATTTCATTTGGGAATATGGACACACAGAAAAAGAAAGCATCTACATTCTTGGACCATTTAGATTTTCATTTATGAGCAACAATACGGTATTGTTTAATTATAATGAGTTAAAACATTCATAATCAGGTGAAGTGATGTGTGGTTACACATCGGTTACCCCCACTGAGCAAGAAATTGCAAAGTTACTGCTACTGCATTCATTTATGATTTGGTTCATCTTGAGCTTACCTTCTCCATCAACAGCATTTAGCTCATGGTTATTAGCTTGCAGCTGCAAGGATGAATGCTCCCCTCCAACAGGAAGCAGGTCAGGGTTCGCCGTTCCCATGCTGGCTACAGCTCCGGTGTAACGACTGTACCAGTCGTTCCTCTCGGCCACAAGCCTCATGACCAGATCCTGAAGCTCTGCCAGTTTGGCCTGATGGCAAAAATGAGACAAAACATTACAGAAAAAAAAAAATCAGTATGTTGCAAAGATATTGCATCTCTACTACTAACAGGGTTGAATTCATTTTGATAAAAGATGAGCTCCTGCTTTTAATTCTAAAGTACAGTTGTTGACCTTTAAAAATGTCTTCAGGCATTTCTATGCTGTTTTGTTGTAGTTAAAGGTTTATATATCTGATATTTTATATCAGAATATGTGTGAATACAGAACCTTCATCTCCTCCTTGTCCTGGGCCAGCATGTTGATATACTGCTCCTTCTCCTGGTGCTTCTGCTTCATTATGGCACGCTGACTTTGGTACAAGGCAATGTATTCGCCTTCATAGTAGAAATGATCAAAAATAAATAAATAAATTCATGAACCATAACTATTTCATAGGAAAATAATTAAAGTGCTTACCAATAGTGTCGGTCTCCCCAGAGAGTTGGATGCAGCGGTGCTCCAGCTCCTCCACCCGCTCCTTCAGGTCAGCTTTCTCCTGCATGAGGGACGTGAACCGCTGCTGCAGCTTCTCCATGGCCGCTTGCAGCGCCTGATGAACCTCAACCGGCACGCCTCCTTCTGTTGAACAATCTGCACAATGGATATTGAAAGTTTACACATTGACCAAACATAGCATCATATAACATCATGAGAAAACCAGCAGGTGAAATCAATTCCAGAAAGACTTAACATGGTCCTTCAATAAAAAAAAAAAGCAGAGCCTAATCTGTAGACCATTCTGTTGTGCTGACCTGAATGCTCATGACTGTGTTGGTCCTGCCTCTCATTATGCTGATGGTCATCCTCATGAGCAGCTCTGTAGTTGTGTTGTTGCTGCTCAAGCCTAAAAGCCACTGATGCCTGCTGCCGGGCTGCCATGTGCAGCCTGTGCTCCTCCTCCAGCTGCCTTCTAGCTTCATCCCGCTCTGCTTCTAACTGAGACAAAGCCCCACGGATAAAATCCTCCTGTTGGAACAATGGAAAAGTGTGGAAAACAGGACATCATTACATCATCACACCATATCAATCAGGCTAGGCACCGAATAACTTTGATCTTTTTACCTACCATCTCTTTCTGGCTCTCAAAGTCCTCTGGGATAACTATGGAAGAGGACTTTATGGGACTGTCCTTCACTGACTGGCTTTCCACACCATCTCCTAAAGAAGACAATAGAGCAGAACAATTCCAACAACTTAGTATAAATTTACCATATTTTATGTCAAAGTCAGTTTCAACCGTCTGCCTCTCATTTGTGTGAAGCAGCAGATTTAGATCAGATGATCACCTTTAAAGAAATTGCACTACCTAGTTTATAGGGGGTCAAATACTCATCTAAAATCCTGCACCACAAATATTAAATGAATTTCTTCCATTTTTCAACCTAATGCAATGGTGACTAAAAGCAAGACACCAGCTTTTAGGAGTGTTTACAAAGGTAGACATATACAGAAAAAATAAGTTTGAAATGCCTCAGATGCTCCATGAAATTTTTTTTTTTTTTTGTAATTAAAGTTTTTATTTTGTTTTATGAACATATAACAAGAACAACAAACAAAACAACAACAACAAAAAAAAAAACAAAACAAAACCAGTCAGGTAAACATTGTTGATTGTAAAGCGGCGTTCACATCCATCACACGTTGTCCTGGTTTCCACCCAATTAAATACAGACTGGACACCTAATTAAGTCCCGTTTAGCTTGACCGGTCCTGGTCTTTTCCAGGTTCAGATCAGAATTTGGTACTCCTTAATTTAGTATGTTTATGTGTAAATGCGAACGCAACCTAAATGTTGTTCCAAGTTATCACTGTTGCAATGTAGTAGAAACATAGGCACTAAAACTGTCCCATTCTTCTGTTACAGCCTCAGAGTAGTTGTTCAGTCTTCCAAGCATTTTCTCACAGGCTGTATTTTCAGTCATTCTCTCTCTCCATGTCTTGAAAGCTGCAGTCTGTGGTATCCTCCATAGAGTCAAAATGAGACGGGCACAGGTAACAAATCCAGTGTTCAGTACTCTGAAAGCTGCTTTATGGACACCTGGGACCAAACCTCTGTCCCCCAACAGGCACAGTCTTGGTGAAATGGGCAGTTTACTCTTTAACCATCCCTCCATGTATTTTATAACACTATTCCATATTGGAGAAATCAGCGGACATTCCCACAAAGTATGCAGCAATGTGCCTCTTGCTCTTTGGCATTTCCAGCATAAGTCATCTTTGCTAATACCCATCTTATGCAGTCTTACTGGTGTAAGATAATACCTGTTCAAAATTTTATATTGAATAAATTTCCCTTTGGCCTCTCTTATATAATGCCCGCTTTCAGAAACAATAGATTCCCATATTCCATCTTCAAAAGTGCAACCCAGATCTCTTTCCCACACTACTTTAAGACTTTTACTTGTATTGTTTTTAACCCATGGACATATGTTATACCATTTTGATGCTCATGAAATTTTTAACCAGGCATACACTGCGATATTTTGCCCTTTTCAGGGCGACTTTCCAGTCATGCGAGAATTTTCCGATTGGGCCGACTTTCAGCCTAATCATGTGTTGTATAGTGTAAAGGGGGTAACGAGGGGCGGTCAGCTTCTCGCGACCACTTCCCGATCAGGATTCCTGACCGTCGTGGGCAAATTGCTCAGTGATCATCTGCAAAGAAGGATTCTTGTTTTCCTTCTTCCTCTCAGATGTAAACACAAAAGCATGGCGGTGGTGCGAGTGAAATGGAAATCTTTCTGTAAAATTGAGAGACTGTCGTAACTACGTGTGCTCAGCAATGTCTTTGTCCAATTACGTCGTCGCCTTTTCTTTTTAGGACTTTCAGCACAAAATTGCACAAATTGCCAAGGCAGCGCAGTTCACTCTAGTGAGCTTCATATCCCTGTTCTACTGATTTGGCTTCTGGATAGACGAGTCAGAGTAGTGGCATCTCACTGTGGAGCAGAGTCCGATGTGGTTTTTAGACGTACAGTGTGAGCAGGTAGCTCGCATTAGAGCGTCATTGTGCACATACATTATGAGCTGTGAACAGTGTGAGCTGTAGCTGTGTGCAACGATTGAAAAAAAAATTGCACAGTGTATGCCTGACTTAAGTTTAACAAGATTATTTGTTCCAATGTTCTGAAACAAAGTCATTGTGGAATCTGAAATATGCATGGGATTATCATCCTATTGAAGGTTCCAGCATTTTCTTTCCGGATTTCAAGAAGAAACTTGAGATGAAAAAAAAACATCAAAGATGTGTAACAAAAAATTAATACAGAAAATACAAAACCCTTACCCTGGTCTCTAGATGTTGTGAGAAGTGCTGAACTATTAATCAACTCTTTTATCTCGGTCTTCAGCTGCTCATTGTCTCTAACCAGCTGAGCCAAATGTTCCTACAAAAAGAGACAGAAGGTAACTTAAAACAACGAAAAAGCTTCTTACCGTTTGTGCAACAGGAAAAGACATAAGGCACGGACATGAATTAAATCTGGCATTAAGTACAAGCTGTGTTTATAAGTCACAGTTTTAAACACGACATATTTTTAGACATATTTAGCATTTTATGTATCAGTTTAGCCTCTCAACTAAAAGCAGCTATTTATAAATCAAATAAAATCCTGCTTTGTATAACGTCTGGCTACCGACCGAGTAAAATCATTCGGGAGGATGCCGTGTCCGTACACACCTCTGCTTGTTTGAGCTGATTCTGGCTGACGTCCAGCTGTGCACGGCCATGACTTTCATCATGCTGCAGCCGGTCCATGAGCTGGGTCTGCTGCAGATACTGTTGGTGGAGCTGTTCCCTCTCTGCAGCGAGGGCTTGGTAGGCAGCATAGTACTGCTGCAGATGGGCCACCACCTGGTCCCTCTGCTCTATCGCGCCCTGAGTCTCCTGGCATTTCAGCTCCAGCTGGAGGCGACAACAGACAAATGGACATTAATGCATAAAGCAGCCAATTATTATCGTCCTAGTAAAACCATTTAATTCAATGCTAGAAAATTTTGTAATTTTTTATTTTAAAATATGTTTGCTAAAAGAAAAAAATGTATAACTGATGAAATATTGGCACGCAGACAAAAAAAACTTTTGTATTTTCTAACTGCTGTTAAATGCAAAGAAGAATTTGAAAACTCATTTTTCTTTTAAACATTCCAATTTTACCTTGCATTCTTATATTATTTACCATCATGTGTAGAAATATATTAAGTGGTTATTCCAATAAACCAAAACATTATCAGCATTAAAACGATCAAAATCTTTCAATTAATTTTACAATACATTTCAAATGTGACCTAGTAGTTTTATCCTCAATGAAAACAAGAAAAGCAAAGATGGTTTCTTTTTTTTTTTTTTT